AACAGATTGGAAATCTAGATGGAAAACAATGCCAGGTTGTACAAACAAAGGAACCATAAAATGAATATGAAACTGAGCTAAATTTGCACCCCAGTCAAGAACTCTTTATTCACTTCCTGCTGACACAGGAAGTGGCTCTACCACCCTTCATGTAGGTAAGAAAGGCAAATGGTAACATCACGTTGAAAAAGGAATGAAGGGGAATACTGCTGCAGATTCTGACAAAAACACAAAACTGTTGAACATTAGACATGTTCCTTGAATCAAAAGATTTGGATAGCTTTTAAAAGTCCTAAATACCTGAGAAAAATCCCTTCTCTTTTACTTCCCTTACATCATGGAGTTGAGGTTCATGACTCAGCTATCTGCATGACCAAACCAATCAGTCACCTAATCTCTCATCTCAGTGCTGGGTTCCATCTTAGCCCTGATAAGCAAGGTGTTTAGGCTGGATATCCTATAGGAGAGAGGCTGGTTATTCTCCCACCCCCACAAAACTTGTAAACTCATGTTCTTTTTGTGAAATGGAATGTGCAAATAGGGGATGTGATTCATGTCTATAGACAAGTAGTATTCCTGACAGCTAGTCAGGAAATACTGTTTTACATCTGGTCTGGAAAGGCCTCTTCAGAAGTAAAATAGAGGCTCCGTGGGAGCAGTTGTTTTAAAGTGAGTGCTTCTTATCTCAAGGACCAAGAGGCACTCCCACCACCAAGTTCTCAGTAAACTTTAAACTCCTTCCTCTTTGGCTGCCCCATTCCCTTTCTCCCACACCCACTGCCGACACAGAAGCGCGCGCGCACACACACACACACACACACACACACACACACACCCGCACGCACGCACGCACATGCACGCACGCACACACACACAACATGAAAATTCTTTGAGAAAAAACAGCCTACAACACAAAACATTCTTTAGTCTGAAGTATGCTGTTTATTTTCAAGGCAAAACGAGTTTCCTTTAATTTATAAGAAATAAAGAGAAATCTTTTAAAAGTTTGTAAGAACAAATAATCTAGTTTTTACTTATGCTTTGTAAATAAGGAAAGGAAGACATGTAGAGAGAAAAGATATCTAGAAAGTAAGTGCCTTTACAGCTTGAATTGTGGATTCCAAAATGGAAATAAAAACTGCCCCTCTGATCAGAAAAGTAAAGTATATTTTATCTCAGTTTTTAATGTTTGTTGTATAGGGATACATCCAAATTTATAAAAAGGGATAGATATCAGAAGAAATAAACGATCCTGATGGAAAAAATATGTAGTTCACCAGTTAATTGTGGCAACAGTAAATTGGAAACAATTCCTTAGCCATTGTAACAGAAATAAAAGTATGCATTTTTCCCCATTAAGTTTATTGGTACATTTAAAGCAAACAATATAGTTACATTTATTATTGGGACCTTGTACCTTTACATGATATGTCTTGGTTCTTGTTTTTTCCCCATGCATTTTAATGAAAGTGTGTAATTTTATGGCAAAGGGAAGCCGTGAGTATAAACATTTCTCCAAAGGAGATCAAGACTTTTGCTCAGTGATTAAATAATATGTGGCTGGCTGATTAATAAGGACATATTTTGAATTCCTCAAGATTTAACAAAATGACATATTGGACTTGTTTAGATTTCCCATCAGACCAGCAAAAACATTTTGACGCACTTCCCCACACTTGGAATGGAACGATCTGCCTTTGATCCTTTTCCAGAATCCACAGCCCACCAACCCTGAAGTCACAAACAGCTCAGAAAGTACAGCAGTGAATTCCAAACCTGGGGAGACATTTATTCAAAGTCTTTTCCAATCTATTCGAAGAAGGATCTAGAATATAAAGCTAGGCATCTCACTCCCCAGATAACCAAGAACAACCAACAATTCAAGTATCAACAAAAACTGTTTCTCTAATCAGAGGGATCATTTTCATTCCTCTTGAAGACACTTCCATTCAGGTTGGAATCAAGTCAATTTATAGGCTCTTCTCCCTGCTTCCTTTACTGAGCATGATGAAGGCTAATGACTTGCAGAGTCAACCTAGTCTCATCTATATCAACCTAGTCTCTTAGCATGTTTTGAAACCTCTAATTCCCTCAGTGTAGTTTCACATTATTGAACTTTGGAATAAGTAGTTGCCAAGATTGAATTCTAGAAATGAACTGGACTCATTGTAGGAAACCTTGAGCCTGGATCTCTGATACAGAAGAGAGGAAGAAAAGCAAACTTGCTATCTGCTCAGCTGGAACACAATTGACTTGCATCTGCAATGGTGTTAAACTATCTGGAGGAAGTTTACTTCGTAAAGTGAGAAGGAAGGCCTATCCAGATGGGAGCAGCATACCAAAGGCTCAACCCTGGGTCCAACTCAGAAACTCCTCACCTCAGAGATAATGCAGAACTCAGTTACAGAGGTGGACATTGTCACACAAGAGCAACGCCCCAGAGATGAGGAGCAGATGTTTGGCCCTGAGCAAGAGACTCTCCAGGCAGCAGAAGCTGAGCTGGTGCTGAACACATAAGGAGTAGCTCAGCCAATCCTGTGGCACTAGGGATGCTGAAGGGCATAGAGAAATATGAGAGATATATTAGTAATGGGTTTTTGAGATTTTTTTGTTTTTTATTTTTTCTTTTTGTTCTTAATCCAGGGTCTTAAATATGTTAGGTAAGTACTCTATCACCAAGCTGCATTCCCAGCCCTTTATATATATATTTTTTTTTTAATTTTATTTTGAGACAGAGTCTCACTAAGTTTCCTAGTCTAGCCTTCAATTTAAGATCTTCCCCAGTAGCTGGAATTGCAAGTGTGCTCTGCCTCATCCAGCTAGTAATAGACTTTTTTTTTTTTTTTTTTTTTTTTTTTTTTTTGGTACCAGGGGGGATTGAACTCAGGACCTTGAGCTTGCCAGGCAGTGGAGCTAAATCCCCAGCAATGGACTCTTGTGTAATGTTTCCTATGTACACCCTTTTCTCTAAAACCTTTATAAAGTAGCTAATTTAATCTTTACAACAATTCCATGAGCTGGAGAGTATCTGTCTTCCTCTCCAGATCCACTCTCTGCCCTTCTGTACTCTGTTCTGTACCCTGGGAATCTAGCTTTCACAGTTGGCCTAAACCCTAATTTCTTGTACTAGATTCCAATTGGATTCAATTATGGGTTGGGGGTTGGGGACAGGAAAAGCACCAACATCCCACCATGGAAATAATATCAAGGATGAGAGATGGCAATGGCAGCATTCTTACACAGAGAGCTATAACTCCTATCACACAGCCCCTTCCTACATAGCAAACCTATAGTAACCCACGAGTTTGGTGACACCCCCTGGGCCTAGAGGTGGTACTGACTCTCTCATGTTGCCAGTTCCCAGTGCTTCATTGCCTCTTCCTGGTTTCTCTTACTGCAGCCTTCATTGGTAAGTAGCCTCTCTGTTAAACTTACCTCAAGATGGAAAATAGCTGTTTCATGCTGGAATCCTGGCTCATGCAATTCTTGTCCCTCTTTTACAGATGATAGCACTGAACCCCAGAAAAGCTAAGTGATCCCACTACTTAAATACTGAGAGAATAATGGTGGAACTCAAACCAGGCACCCAGGCAGCCTGGTTCCAGAGTTGAGCTCTGCATTTTACTACGAGGGGAGTTTATGGAAATAGCTTAGATGTGACCCAGAGAAATGTTCATAAGTGTAGCTGTGTGTTTTCACATAGTGCCAGACTACTTCCACACTCATTGTGGCCCATACTCATTATCTCAGGCCCAAGACCAGATTTTGGATGTGGAAATTCATTAGCAATTTCCTCCTTCTTTAAAGAAAAATACAAACCCTTTCCAAGGACAGTGCCTCTTCAGAGTAGCTTTTTCTCACCTCAGCTCAGACTCCAAAACTTCAGAAAGAGGTGGAAAGAAAGCAAGAAAGCCAGGCTCCTCTAGCCTATTTTAAAGATTTAAGTCATGTGATCCTTTCCCTCTTTTTACTCCCTGTGAGGATAAGGATAATTCACAAAAATCCTAATAAAGCTTTGGATTTGAAAGAATAAGATTTTTGCTCTGTGTCTGGAGCAACATTTATTGTACTTGATAGAAACAACCAATAAACATATACATTTTTTCTTCACATATCTGTCATATTTTATGAAGAGTGACAGGCTCTTCTTTATGCCATACAATCACATTTTCTTAAAAGTGAAAATATTAAGTTACCCTAAAAGAAATAAAAAGTGATATCCAGATAAATGTTTATTACCTCTCCCACCACGATCAGTACCAAAGAAGTACCCTTCTGAAAAGAAAAACTTGAATTTTAAAGCTAAAATGTTCTAATTTTGATACTACTTGTGGGTACTACTTTCTCCTCATTAGCATTCTTTATAGGATGTGTGATCAACAGATATGATGAATTTAACAAATTTATTACAGTAAAAGACATATTGCCATTCATCCCCCTCCAAATACCTCCTCTCACTTTAAACACACTTACCCTATCACTCTTGCCACTTTCTGAAGCAGTTCTGGAAGTCATCTTTTGTGAGTTTCTTTAGTTACATTACTGTGGTTCTCTTGATGTTTTTACTATCCAGCCTTTCCATTGGATCACACTTGGTAGTAGCATTCACCATATTTTTATCACACTTCACAATGACACTCAAAAGAGGACTTCCAGAACTTCTTCAGAAAGTGACACTGGTGATGGGACTACTGTATTCATTGAAAGAGGAGTGTTTTGAGGAGGATTAGTGGCAATGTATTTTTAAAAGTAACAATTTTTTAAGAAAAATGTAAGCATTCACCGTACAATTTGATCACATTGCATATTTATGGATAACTCTTTAATTTGCATGTAGTGGATAAAAACTGGACTATGAGACCAAATGACTTGGACTTATGTTCTGTCTTGGTCACTTTGAATTTACATTTTCCAAGAAGATGGTCCAGATACAAGGTTGAAGATGCAAGCAGTTTATCTGAGCAGTGATGCCATGAAGCACCAGTGAGAGACTACAGACTTGTCTATGATGAGCCTGTCCCAAACATGAATTTCTATTGAAAAAATAATTATGGATTGGGCTTCTAAGATGGACCATTATAAAAATAAAGAGGCGGGGAGAGAAAGAGAGGCTGCAGACATGCTGCAGGAATGAAAGTCAGTGAGCACAGTGTGCCAGAAGAAAGAGCCTACCTCAAAGTATCCAGAGTTCTATTTCACTGGTATCCCCTAGAAAAGCATAAGGAACTTGCATCAGAGGTATGCCCCCCAAGAAACAGGGACACTGGGTATTTAACACCAGCTCTCATCCTTATTAATACAGAACTACTTCCTGCTAAACATGCTCCTATGTTCCGGGACACCCTCTGCTTAGAGTTAGGACTGATGCTTGCACCGAACAGAAATCACAGAGGATGTGAGAAAGGACCAATGGTTTCTGCTACAGACACTCATTTCACACCCAGATCCATTGGGACAATTGGCTTATTACTAATTTTTTTTAAGTATCTGGTCAAATTTTCTAAAGGAAAAAATTATAACAGGCTGCTATAAAGGTTAGTCTTTCGGATTGCAAATTAATAAAGCACACTCTGGGTGGGTTTATACCAATCCAATGCTTAATGTCTGAGATCTTGGAGTTCCAGGGCTCAAGGACCAGGAGTTCTTATGTCTGAGGGTGGGAGGCATGTATGTTCTATCTCAAGAAGACAGAGAAAATTTGCCCTTTCTACTTTTTTGTTCTCTTTGGACCTTCAGTTGATTGGATGATGCCTGCTCCCACTGATGAGGATTATCTTTACTCAGTCTGCTAATTCAAATGCTAACCTCTTCTGGACACACCCTCAGAGACTCATCCATATCGTCTTTTTACCAGTTATCCTTGCATCCCCTAACCCAGTCAGGCTGACAAAATAAACTAACTTCTCACTGGCCTCTCATTATCATTCTGGTCCCTGACCCATGGCCTCCATTAACTTCACTTGTTTCTTTCTCGCCTTCAGCCAACTCTAAAATCTCTGTCCAGATGTCTATCTCCTCACTGTATCACTGACCCTGCTACCACATTCATCCCTGAGCTCGTTGTGATGCCTGGAAATATCCTGGGTTACATTCTGGTGCCAGTTTTTGTTCCTTGAAGCTCCAACTTCGCCCTCTGATTTGAACATGAAGGTGCTGGATCCCTCCCTGCCTAACTTCCTCCTTTTGGCCCAAATTCCAGACAATAAATCTGCTGTTACACAGTTTTGAAAACTACAGATTAAAGACAGAGTACAACTATTTCTTTGTTTGTTTGTTTGTACTGGGGATTGAACCCAGGATCTTTTACTTGTGAGGCAGGTACAGTGCCACTGAGCTAAATCCCTGGCCCTCAGAATACAACTTTTAACTAGCCCATGTGAACCAGCAGAGTAATTTTCAAGTGACAAAAATAAACCAAAAGAAGGAGGTGTGATCTGTAATATCACAGATAACTATAATTACAACTGCTAAGATTTTGTTTGTTTTCTAAGCTATCTTGTCACATCAAAGAGAAGGAACTCATAACTCAATGTAGCTAAAACTTATACTTATAGTAAGAGCTCACTAACCTGAAATTGTAAATCAAAAAAATCAGTGCCCAGTGCAAAAAGCATGAGACTGACTATGTGCTCATCCTAATACTGTAATATTCATTGAATGATAAAGTAAGAGTCCCAATATATTATTTTTCAGTTAAGTTTTATTGCTAACTATTCACAACACATCTGTAGATAAAGGAGTTAACTTCCTGGGCCTTGGCTTCTTCATTATAGAATACAGTATCTCGGGCCAGAGATTTAGCTCAGTGGTTCCGGCAAGGACTCGTGTTCGATCCCCGGTATCAAAAAACAAAAACAAAAACAAAAAAAAGAATACAGCATCTCAATGTTCCCTTCTAAATCTAAAATTATCTCCAATGCAACAAAACTAAAGTTTGCTTTTTTTGCACCATCAATAAAACAGAGGTTTCTTTTAGTTTTCTGTTCAAATATCTCCTTGTTAGAATGAGGAAGAATACTCTTGATAATTCTATATGAAATGGCATCTTTCTTTGACCATCATTCTCAATTCTGTTATTCTGTTTTATTTTTTCCTTCATAACATTCTTATATACTTATCTATTATTCATTTACTCTATATCTCCTGCCATGAGCGCCTGGGTGTCTGAGAGTGAAGATCCTTCTGCTCTATTCATGCTGTATCCTCAACACCAAGAACATGCCACACATGTAATAGTAATTCCGTGAATATCTGTTGAATTAACATGAGATTTAAGTGAGCTACACAGAATATAAATTTGAGAGTAATACATATCTGATTTAAGAAAGTAAACTTGTCAAGTATTCTTGACCCTGTTTCAAAAAGTACTCATTTGCTATGAAATTAATCCAGTCAAGTACAAACCATTCCTCTCTTTTCTTTAAAGCAATTCCCCTAAAACCATCTCCCAAGCAATGCTTTGCCATCCTGTTCCTAATTATTCTTCATCTTGAAGGTAATCCAGCTATACACATTTACTGTAATGATTAAAATTCAGTTTTATTTGTTCAGGCTGATTTCTCTAGTTACAGTATTCTAAACCAAAGAGTTCGGTAGCAGATAGTTTGTCACATGCCATGCATCTATACCACTGGAGGACATGTTTTAGGACACAATGTTAAATGCTCTTGTTGTGTACTGAGATTTCCCAAGACTGAATCCTGGCTTTGCTTTAGATTATCTGGGTGAATTTCGGACAAGTTACCTAGCCACTCTGAGTGCATTTTTTCATCTATAAAGGGGGAATTATAATTATTCCAGTTTTTCTTCTATTTATCCTTTCTATCCTCTAGCCTGCTCAGTGTCTTGGGAAGCTGACTCTCAGAGCCCTGGGCTCCCCTGGCTTAGAACACAGGAAGTACCTAGCAGGCGAACCTCAAGCAGTAAGAAAGAGGTTGGAGCATACATCCTCCAGTCCCTCCCTCCTTAGCAGGATGTTGGCAGTGACTGTCTTCCTTTACCTATGACTGGGACACCAAACAATTAGTCTCTCCATCAAGACGAAAGACAGCACCAGGCTATGGTGACTTCACCCTCTCCTCTTACCCCATCAGGCCTGGGATGCTAACAACTTCCTGTTTTTGCTAGCACCAGATACATCATATTTCTTGAAGATTCCCTTAATCCTACCCACACTTGGGAAGGGAGTCTCATTAAAATCACTTCAGCTCTCCGCCTTCTGCCAAATTTTGACCAAAGCAACACAAGTGCACTGCGGGCGCTAAATGGATGAACACATGGAAAGCAAAAAGAACCCTTTCTGGAGACATTGTAAGTTTTCAACTCATCTTAATTATTTTCTACTTAAGTCAGTGAGCAGAAATTATACAAAACAGCACATGTTAGTATATGTGAAACATATTAATTAGAATTTACATCCTATTTGCCTATGGAAAAGCCCAGAATTTGAGCTTGGGAAAACCTGGCATTGCATGCAATCTTTTGTGTAAGATCTGGAGCAAGTTAGAGACTTCATTCTGTCTTCCCTAGAATGGGATCAGCTTTCCTGCCACAGCCTTTCATCCCCTGAAAATGTACTCAGGACTCAAGTTCAACACCACACCCCCACTGGTCAGGAGCTGCTCTCCACTGCACAGCTGACCATGTGCGCTGTAGTGCTAAAGCCACCTGAAACAGCTGGGCAAAAGTCCTATCCATGAAAGCCTCAGCCTGAATGGCAGCCCCCTGCCCTCACTTGTCCTTAGCTGCAGCTTCCAAATAATGCAGTTTCAAGGAACATCGACACAGCAGCCGCATTCACTGGGCCTGGGCTCCCAGGGTTGAAGTGGGTGGCTCTGGAGCTAGGATTGGACTGTGCTGGGGAGTTTCGCTGTTAGCTACACCACAAGCCCTTCTCTGAAACAGGAATTCTTCTCCTGCATCACGCGGGCTCTTTCATCTCCTATCTGATGATGGCCTTTCTTATCTTTTTCCCAATGTAAAAGAGCTGTCGCCACCTCCCATAGTTCCTCTGCCTTGTGTGTTACTTTCCCTGTACGTCTGAGGCAGCCTGGGGAAAGCGGTTGACAAGCATTTGATGGAAGGAAAACAAACCAATATTGTATTAATAGGATGGAAAAGCTCTCAAGACTCCAATGAATGCTGTGAGAATAACAGAAGGTGATAAATCTGACAATGACAAGTATTATACCTGCTCAGCAATAGACATTCACACATGTTAATAAGATGCGGGGCTAAGGTCAGCTGCATGGTGTCCAGCTACACTTAGCAGGGGGCCCTTTCTTAATTTAAACCTTATAGTCACCACCTCAAAACTCATAATAATTCGTGAAGAAAGGAGTCTTGAATGTATTTTCGCTGTACAGTGTGTTCACTTTGTTTTTCAAGTTACTGATGAAATTCTGTAACTGACCATCTCTTTTGGTATCAAATATGGACTCCCCAGCAGCTATCTAAATGAAAATGTGGTTCTTAAAAGATGGCATCTGGTGTTAAGAGTGTATTTTTCAATTGACAAATATCTGCCAAAGACCATATATGTGTTAAGAACTGTGCCAAAGTATCTTTGAACCTAAACTTCCTGCTTTGAAGCTCTGGGGTAAGCTGATTAACATGTGACAGGATAGGAGTTGACCTTGCTGTGAACTGTTCTTCAGATCTGTGGCATCTGAGTCTTGGGGAAAAAAAATTAGTTTCATATTTCATCACAGAACTGTGACTTGGATTTGTAAAGTCAATCGTATAAATTCAATTAGACAAATAGGCAGTTAAAATTCTCCAATTTGGATTTCAAAATCCGCAAACACCATACCAATTTTGGTATAACTTGCAGGGCGATGCTTCACTTTTTCAGGATCCCAAGGCCGCAAAGTTGAAAATGCAAAGATGCACACGGCACTATGACTTCTTTGGGATAGTAGTACACACCCACGAGGGGTGCTTTGACCAGTAAGGGAGGATGAAGGAGTAAAAACAGCACAAATGTAGCCATTTAAGGAAAATATGACTGAGACAGGCATCAGAGAAGACAGGACTGCTTCCCATACACCCTAATGCTAGCCTATTTCTGT